GCAGTCCAAGGAAGCCTGATTTTCTGTTGGATGGTCACCAGACTCACAGAGCAATGGCCGGTCCATGAAGACAAGCCATTTCAGCTGATGCACCGCTCTGTAATACAAAAAAATCCTGACAATATTTTGCATGTTTTTATCTGGGACATGATATTTGAATTTCAAAGTGTTGTAAATGAGAGCACTGTAACTTACAAGCAAGTTAAATGTACACAGTTTAGCAGCCAGGGATGGGAGAAAGAACTTTTATACTGAGAACAAAATCTTTAGGAACACTGTAACAGGAATTTGGTCATGTGCAGCATTCAAATGGTCGCCATCATGCTTACTATTGTTACACAGGAAGTTCTTGGTTTACAAGTGTGTATAAACTTTATTGCTTGCAGAAATACAAAGTTGGTGTGCGTGATCGCAAGGTGGTTCTATGCAGGCCTATGGTCAAAGCAAGGGACAAAGAGGTCACTATACTGGAGCATGTACACAGTGTATCTTACTCATCTGGGGTCTGAGTGGAAAATGACCTAACTATGTGGGTGGCTGGGTAATCAGGGCTACTGCATATGGGTGTTGCCTAGCACCACTCCTGGCCCTACTCATAAATATTTCATGTAAATGTATGAGAGGGGACAGAGCGCAAAGTGCCTGGCCACACTATAATACTGAATGAAAGAATCAAAAATTTTTAATTTTGAATGGCCCCTTACTGCTGATGTAAGCAGTAGGCAATTATCTCTCACTGTAGTTAAAGGACCCACCCAGATAATAAAACAGACCCAATCAAGTCCCAATTATTACTGTATGTTTCTTGATTGTTGCTGAATAAATCACTATCACATTGTGCCAACAATCCTGTTGTCAAGGAGTATTTCTTGCAGGTGCAATAGTGTTGTTCACAGAAGGTAACCACAGTCATCAGAATTGGCAGTATATTTCCTCCAAATGGACCTACTATCTTGCCCTAAGGCAGTCTCTGAGTGGCCTCTCATCTGGAGAGAGCTTGGGTTTGGGAAGATCAGCTACACTCTAACAGGTTTTAGACAGGTTCCAACAAATTTAGGTTTGGCCGGGGTAGATCCCCGCCACGGTGTGATGAGAACATTAGTTTGGTTTATTGAAGGACTCGGACTCAGTTGGACATGGACACCCGTGTCAACCTGTAGGGCTTCGTCTGCGAAGTGGTGGACCCAACTACAACACAGGTAGAGCCAATGATTTTCTGCGATCGTGGAAAATGGACACAATTTGCAGAATCAACACTTTGAAATGGAATCCACTGCTTGAAACGGAACTTGCAAAATTTCCCTCTAAGAATGGCTTAAAAAGTAAAGAAAACTTTCTGCAAAGTACTAAAAAATAAATGTCTACCAAACCCTTTTCAAAAACTTGTGAATGGACCCTCGGAGGAGTTCAATAAAGAGTGAAGCTTTTGGTCACAAACATACATTTATGGCTCAGATTTAATGTTAACTTTCTGAATTTTGTCACACAACTGCCAAATAAAATGGCGGGTCAATGTCCAACATTAACATATTGTGATCAACGACTGCTAAATGCAAGACCTACTATGTGACTTTCACTGTACATGTACGTAATCTGATTTCCTACATCAGGAGTGGCACATGAATTGTCCGTTGATTGATCGTAGCAAGTTTTGGCAATCGCGCGCCCTTGGGGAATCAAGGGGTGAGGGGTGCAGTATTTGTTGTCTGGATTTTCTTTTTTTTAAGTTTCATTACAGAAATTTTAAAAAAAAGTTGGAACCATTGCAGAATATTTCCGAAAAATACTGTTACTATTTTTTTTGGGGGGGGGCAATGTGGTTGGGCAAATGGTTTCCATGCATAGTTTAAAACTTCCTCTCCCATTTCATGCTTACAAAGGTATGAAACGGACTTTGAATTTCTGAAGCGGAATTCAGGCTTTGGCGAAACAGAAAATACCCATTTTTGAAATGGCAAATAACTGGCTCTACACAGGTCTGAAAAACAAGTACACTGCAAGGCCCAAAAGAAACATGTTTCAGTTGCACAAAAAAAGGTTCAATATAATCTGCATGTTGGACATCGTACATCTAGTTTCAAATATATTGTTTCATCCAGGTATTTCCGACCATTGTGCCATCATGTGTTTGCTGTCTATGCAGAAGCATGAGCCATCACTTGCCTCGATAAAGACAAGTAAACTTAAATCTTTCAACATTGTTGCATTTCGTGGTGACCCAGCTGCAGAACTTTCAGACACGAATATCGTAGCACTGGATGTAAACGCTTGTGTCCAGAACTACGAACAAATTGTGGGCTCTCTGTTTGACCGCCATGCACCAGAGCACACTACGACTGTTAGATTAAGTCCGGACAGCTCATGGAGACAACTTGAGAGAAAGTGGAGACAGTCAAGAACTGAAATCAACAGGCAGATGTATCAGGAACAGAGACTCTTTCTCAATAAACTGATTAATTCGGGCAAAAGTTGAATATTATTCATCATACATTACAGAGTGTAAAGGTGATCAGACAAATTGTTTAAGGTTGTAAACAGCTTGTTGCAATAGGAAACCACTATTGCCTACTTTTGTTTGTGATGATATTTTGATTGAAAATTTCTCAGCATTCTTTCACTGAAAAATAACTACCATTCGCAGTGAATTCACCGAAGTGGGGAAAAATTGACTAGCAGTTTCCAATCAAGTATACTGCTAAATTTGACCCTACTTCTGTTTCAGAAATTGTCAATGTTGTTAATAATTCACCTGTCAAGTCATGTGCTCTTGATCCTGTACTGACTTTTGTTGTTCCAGGGTGTATTCATGTTTTGGCTCCGTCCCTTGTTGAAATTGTTAATAAGTCTTTTGAGCCACGGGTTTTCCCAGATAGTTTAAAACTGGCTTGCATTCACCCACTACTTAAGAGAGCTGATTTAAACACTGAAGCCTTAAGTAGTTATAGACCCATTGCAATCTTGAAGTTTGTTGGGAAAAACATTGAACAGATAGCTGCATCCCAACTGCTTGATGTTATAAACGATCATTGCTTATCCAACAAATTTCAGACAGCTTATAAATTGCTTACAGTGTTGAATCTTCACTCTTACACGTTCAAAATGACATCTTGTGTGAAACAAATGAAGGGCAAGTAACTGCACTCGTCCTTGATCTCAGTGCAGCATTCAACACTGTTGATTATTTCATTTTGCTTCACAGACTTCGTGATATCCTTGGGGCACATGGAAAAACACTTGAGTGGTGTCAGTCATATCTCCAATCTAGACCCAAGTTGGTTGAAACTGGAAGCTGTAAATCCGACTTAGATGTTCACGATTTTGGCCAGAGACCTTGGGTCATTTTTGATTCTACAGTGTCTTTAGACCCTCATATGTTTCAAGCATTGTTCGTTCAACATCATTCCATATTCATACTGTAGGTAAAATATTCCCACAATCACAAATTGATCATCTACAGTTTAAACAGAATTCAGCTGCTCATACCATTACTATCTTCAGAAAGACTTGTCACATTACACCGATTCTACAAGAACTGCACTGGTTGCCTGTTAAGTTCAGAATCATTTACAAGATGCTCTTATTTGTCTACAAATCACTCTCCAGTTTGCCTCCCGCATATATTGATGACTTATTACAGCCTTACAATCCCACGCGTTAGACTTCGATCCAGTAATATGATTCTTCTTAGAGAACCCAAGTCATTTCATTCATGGGGAGGTTGCTCTTTTTCATGTGCTGCATCTTGTCTTTGGAACAATCTACCAGCATGGTTACGATCTTCCCCTTCTCTCCTGCAGTTTAAGAAGGATCTGAAGACTCATTTTTTCTATTAGACTTTTAATTAATTTCACTGTAATAGCACCTTGAGCATCTTGGTGGATCTGTGTGCTCTATAAATCGTCAGTGTTCAAACAATGCTTGTTAAAAGGTGCATCCAAACATGCTATAAGAAATAGCTGGTTAATTCAGTGACAAGCTGTACACCATAACTCACATGCCCTTCCTAAAACCTCTGGATACATAACACAAGAGGACAGTTTTGATTTGGTTGTTTTCTAGAAGCTCTGCCTCAAATGCATTAGGAAAAACCTAATCATAAATTAATTTATAGCTTACATGAAATTTAGCAAAACTTACTGGTGTGTGCGGATCTAAATTCAGCATGACATTATCAAGCTGCTGTCTCCGGTCCTTCAGATACTTGGACTGATGCCAGGGATAATTAATAGAAGTCCCTGGCCTTGAGGAATCCAGTTGAGCACCTGTGTTAGGGGGTCAAAACAACCCAAACATGAAACTAAACAAAAAGAATTACTTAAAAAGTTAAGTGAGTGACAGGTGTTTGAATGAAACTGTAAAAAAAAATAGAAACTAAGTGCTTAGTAGTTAATTAATTATGTTTAACTGTATACTACAGTGTATCACACTGTATGTGTATAGTATGGAGCACATACAACACTTTTCTGGATTAGTGTACACGGAACCATACATGCCACAAGTCTTCAAAAACAGGACACAGGCTATACCACACATCTTGAAAATCAGTTGAATAGCTGTTTTCTCAGATTTTTCTCCTTCTGGCCTTTTATAGTCAAGGAGTACGGCTGGCATAGTTTTTTTTTCTCACCTTCCACCTCTGCAGTCCGCATTCGATTCTCAGCTTAGCCCACTTGGATTGGGTTTTCAGTCCGTACTTGATTCCGTGGGTTTTACCCAAGAAAATTCCTCTGGGGTTTTCCTCCCACCTCTAAAACTGTGACTGCTTCTCACCATCTTCTCTCTACAGGTTGATTTTATGTGGATTCTTGAAAATTTTACATAAATAAAACTTAAGTGCTTGTAATTTGACACCTGATGAGGTCATCGTGATGCTATTCATGTAGTACATTATTGGTGTGCGAGACTTTGGACTGTGTAATTTTAATGAGGGTGCAAAATTGACAAGAGAGCCAAAAAAGGCTTTGGAAATCTGTAGGAAAAAATAAATATTCCACATCCTGTAATAAATAGCGTGATGACATTATGATTACGTGATATTGTGGTACACCCTGGAGGTACAGTAGGTCCATGACGTGGATACTTCCCTGATGTTGTGTGCTATGATAGGACATTAACTTTGTCGGGAGGGCTTATGTTGTCAAATTTGATCGTTAAAACATCATCCAGCTGGCATTGGTGTCTCTAGTTACTGGTCAGTGTGGATGAGTGGATGTCACAAAAAGCTGAGACAATGACCCTTAAAGCCCTTACTTTGTGCCAGGTGCCATTCTAGTCTACATACAGCATACCAGAGTTTATCTGAAGAAGTTCCTGAGTGCGTAGAGATGTTAGGATTGAAAATGTCTGAAGGATGAAACAAAGCTCTCTAGTTCTTTGTGAAGAAGTCCATCGATGAAATAAGACAAGCAGCTTTACCCTTGGTGCCGCCGCCCGCTCAACTCCAGCACAGGCGCACAGCTCACATGGTGACTGTCCAATCACAACCCTTACAGCACCAAGTGAGACACATCCCTGTCGCAGTGCTGTAAATGTGGTTTTTGTGTAGCCAAATCTCACTCGAATAAAGAAGGTTAAAATTTACTTTCTAGTATTTTTTCTGGTGTATTTTGCCGGTACATGCACCATACTGAATTCCATTAATTCCCTCTTTTTCCGTTTTTGAGGACAGGCAAAAGCGTAAACAGACCCTAGTTAGTTTTTGAGTGAGCAGAAAAAATTCTTAGAGCTAGCCAGTCCAGCCTAAGAGTACCCTGGCCAAGGTTTAATTTGTCTAAACATCAAACAAAAATATTCAGCTGTTTTAATACTTAATATCATGATCATTTTTCTGACTTTGACGCCAAAACACCAAAAAATACATGGGAAGACATGATTATTTTCAAGTGGCTCGGGAGCCCTGATGGAAAAAAATCTAAAAATCCACCCCAGCTCTGCGGAAAAGAAATCTCCTGAGGAGTGATTGACAGCTCTGTTGTTCCGTTAGACACAATGTATATTTTTATTCTTTGCGAGTAAAACAGCCATTGGTAGGATACACTTGCACAGTCCCAGAATTATGCTACTGTTGCCAAGAAACAGTATTACCATGGAAAATTCTGGGCCCCTAAAGCACGCTGTCTGGACCCTGCCTGGCTGTTAGCCAGGCTTTGTTGTACAGCCCTGTTGTACAGCCCTTCAGTAATGTTCCTTCATCTCCTTTTCTTGACATTAATTTATGGCAAATAACGTAAGACGTAGACATTTTCCAGGCCTCTGAATTTATAAATAACTTTCTCCACATAACATTTGATCTTTTTTGAAGAAAAAAAATATTCTGCTGAACAGGCCAAATGAATTCCTCATAATTACACAGTGATCTCTGTCAGTCCAGATCAGTCCATCTCCCCTCCGTTCTCTCTCTCTCTTTATTTTTTTTTGTTGAAAGTCTTATGTTGTCAATAATAGGATATCAGCTTGCGCTCGGACAACCACAAATATGCATTGTTGTTGAGCTACATACCTGCATTAAAAAACTCACTTGTTAAGCAGAAAAACAGAGCTGACATGCAACGGCCTTTGTTTTTTGGGTTGGCCAAACATTTAAACAGTTAAATGGCAAATTCAAATGTGGCTAAACGTTTAGCAAATTAAATGTATATTTTGACCGTTAAGCACTGTCCAAGATGGAGGAGCCATCAGCCACTGTGTATGGCAGTACTGGCAGAATGGTAGTTGGGGACAGTAGCTACCTGGAGGCCCGTGTTATTACAGAAGTGCATGAAAAAGCAGCTACATCCCCTACAGGTGCCTTAGTTTGATCCAAAGTCTTTTCTTAGTACCAAGAACTGAAATGCCATATTCAACATGATAGTTTGCAGGTAGACAGCCAGCCATCAACCTCTTGCAGCCATGGCACTCCCGAGAAAGTCCTAATGCTCAGAAGGATCACTGCACAATGGCTATCAAGTCAGGTGGAGTTGTACCGGATCTGGATGTAGGATGCCCAACCTTGGTTGGTGGATGATGTCCTGACATGTTGGGACTATCAACAGCAAGTCAACCAGGAGTCTGTTTAGCTATGAGAACCACCACTGCTCACCACCATGTACAGTCAGTGGAGCAGCCCACCCAGCACCACCCATGCCGTTGATGTTCCGGCACCGGTTCCAGTGGGTGTCCAACTGCAGCTGGCGGTGGAAGCATAACAGGCGGTGAGTTGAGTTCAAGATGACTATTGGCAGGCTACAGCCTAATATCCCTAAGATGATTATCTTTGGTTAACATTATTCAATACTTCTAATTGTAGTGTAGTTACAGGGTGTGTTTAGGTTTGTATTGGTGTAATTCCAGTGGTTTGTGTTCAATGCCCTGTACTGCAGTGTCTGTGGTAAATATACGCCTAGGCACAGCGTGTCTAATTCCTTTATTGTCATCGCATCTTCATGTTTAGTGAGTATGGGGCTCAGGTCCATACTTCGCAGCAGCACTGCAAGGCTAGTATACAGAGACTCCATCTGCTGCAAGCATTGTGTCTCCAATGCAAGCATTGTGGGTAACTCTCAGTCATGTCAGTAGTTCTGAGCCAGGTTTGACTTCAATCATTACACAGCAGAAAAAACATGAGTGTAACCCCTAGCCCCAGTCCTGAGCATGTTGAGAACCTTCTCTGAAACAGTTTTGGATGCGTTTCGCTTGAGAAGCGCCTTGAGCATAAGTTGTGATGGATATGTGCGCTATATAAGAATCTGCTATTATTATTATTAGTAAGAGTTATCACAGCCAAAGAAGGATAAGTGTAGACTTAATAATGTTTTAGGCAGAGTAGATTAAAATATACTGACACAAACGAAAACCAACAAACATATCACACGCTCAGGAAGAAGAAAAAACGATAATAATAAATAAAACAGCGTCTAAACTTTTCAGATTATGTATACATTACAAACACACGCCACTGAACACAGAACTAATTACTTTGCACATGGCACGCCTCCTTCTGAAATCAAATAACCTTGTTAAATGCAAAAATGCAAATCATACATATACAATGGGCACACCAGTTTAATTTACCTGTATTCGAGCAACAGTTATATTATCATAATGGTTTGTGGGTGATTGGCAAATTCAAAGTTTGTTGCAAAGATTTTCACTGTGTTTTCAAGGTCCCAGATTTCGTTTGCCTCAAGTCAGCAATGTATAGGCACAATGAACTTCTAGGCAAGTTGCAAAACAAATTTGAATGAGGCAGATGGATTTCGCAATTTATTTAACAGCCCGTTATCGATCCGTTCCAAATCTTCAGTTCTCTCCAACCGAGCTTGTCTGTGAGTAATAACCCAGTTGTTTCTAGTTTTTATCAAACATTTGTCATCTTACTACTGAGGTGGTTTTGTGAATGAAATTGTAACTAATGAGGAATTGGAAGTCTATTACATACTGTATGTTAAGGCCGTCAATTTATCTGTTTGTCATCCTATCCAAAGCACTTCTTGGTCTTCAGTTTCACATTAGTTTCCCCATGTTTACCCTTGCTGTCTTATTTCTCGTGTGCTGTTTGATATTAGCAATTGTTGGAATGTCATGTTTTGATTTATGTTCTGGTGCTAAATGTATTTTAGTGCTGGGAAACAAAAATAGTTCTTTCTAGCTCTAGAATTTCTTCTAGCTCTCAAGTCTTCCTTTAAGAACCCTCTAATTTACAGAGGAAGTTGGTATCAAGTTAGATTCACAAAAGACAATTTGGGTAATTGCAGGAATATCCCCTGTCAAGTTAGACTTCAAAATGCTCAACCTACTACTCATGTTGTCCCATTTAAGGTAATGCTTTGCTAGCATCCCATAAAATTTTGGCCCGTGTGTGTGCTGAGCATGGCAAGTACGTGTATGAAGGCAAGCATGCCCCTATCTGTTCGGTAAGCTACCGCAGTTCTGGTTAACTGGGTGGTGTTCAACTTTGATCAGTATGCTGTTAAAGTGAATGATTAATCAGTGTGCAAAGGATTTGGTCCAATGTATGCCAAACATGGCACCATGATGGCCAGCAGGCCCTGTTTATTCGGCAAGCAGCCCAAGTTCTGATTAGCACCCACCCGTTGGATTGGGGCTAGTGTTTAATTTTGCTCAGTTAACTTGGTGAATGGTTGGAAAGCGAACCAAGTATTTGACTCCTGCTTAGGTTACGATCTCAGAATTCAAGGTTGGCAGGATCTGACTAAAGATTTTGGCCTGTTTGTAGGCTGACATAGTGCTGTGGTGGCCTGTGTACAGCTGGCGTAGTTTACAATGGGAAGATGCAGGACGGTAATTACTGAAAATGTCCTTTATGCTCTTGTGGGACCAAATGAACACTATTCACTTCGTGTTAAGGTCCCCAGGGTCACTTCAGTCGTACCCCTCCACAAGGAGGAGACACGAGTCTGGTGTTATCTGGAGATAGATAATGCTGCAGACCTTATACAATCTCTGGTTGTCTCTGGTGACAGGGTTCCCTCAGTTAGACGGGGGGGGGGAGAGAACAAATCACCCTTCTATCCTGAGGACCAGGTCCTATAATATGTAGAGGGGCAGAAGATATGAAGATCACAGTAGTTACAGCAATCACTAAATCTAAAATGATAACAAGCAGAAAAGCAAAGCATACAAATAGTCACACGAAAACACACTCTTACCAAGAAAGAGTGGAGATATGATGAAATAGGTTTATTTACTGATGAGACAGCGAATCAAAGGTTATCACCAAACTTGTGTAGTGAATGAAGAATTTGAGAAAGTTGGAGATGTCAAAAAACATGAACATATGTAATGACACTAAATAAAGAGGACATGGTGCATCTTGGTAGATGACAATTTCATTTCATTTCATTTATTTCATTTTTCGGGATAATACATACAATAAATTACAGACAAGAAAACAAATAAACACTGCAATAGACATAACAGAAACATAATAATACCCAATCAGCTCCCACAGGATTACCCAAAAGAAACAAGTTTCTGTCGAGGGGCTCCCCTAACTAACTGGATAGAACATACAGGGAAACATGAATATTTACAGATATAGTTTATCAAAATGTAAATCAGATTTATACTTAAATGCAAATAATATAACTTAAGGTTGGCAACCATAAAAGCAAGAAGTAGCAAAATATCTAACCAAATATGTACAAAAAAGGAAATTATTGAATGCAAATCAGATTTATACTTAACTCCAAATAATATACATGTAGCTGAAGGCTGGCAAAAATAAAACTATATATTTTGGAAATATTACGCCATAAGAAGAACAAAAGGATGTACTGGCAGTTGAGACTTTAGCGAATCGCATAATAGCACCAGGGAAATATGCAAATGTAGGTTATGTGGATAGGTTGAACGTAGTAGAAACTGTATTTCAATTGGCTCAGAACAATAATATGACCATGCAACAAAAAAGGATTTTACCCCTACACTGGATATTATGCATCAGTGATACCACACTGCAATATATCATGGATATATCAATCAATATCATGGACTACATGTAGTCCGCACTTAACAGTCCAAACCATTATGCAGGAACCACTAACCAGACTTCACAGGTATACCTTTGTCAACATACACTAGGTAGTTGACCCTGGTAGAAGTAGAGAACTGGCATGTGCTATGATCAGCTGTTGGAGCACAGCATTTTTTGGTTCACTGGTTGAAGTTTGTTTGATGTTTGCTTCTTTGTAATAAAGTTTTTTAACAAATTATACTATGTTTGAAGACACATATAAGATCTTCTCTGAAAGACATTTCTTATGAGCAAGGCACATGTGACCAGCAATTGAACAACTGATCAAGACAATTTTCGAGACACCCAGGTGACAAAAATATCACAAAGCAGTCATAAAAGAGGTCTAGGAAAACAATTATTGCCTGCTGTGATGTGAAATATAATGTTTGAAGCCCACAACTCCTAGCATATGGGTGCTAAGAGTCACTTGGGTTTAAAACATATCCTACACCACAACAGGAGGTTCTGTCACAATGCATATATTTTAACAGAACTCTTTATACTTGGTGGTACACAGATCTGTTGCTTTGCAAGATATGAAGAATCTTACTGCATTAGATATAGGCACATAGTCCTATGTGCACTGCCCTAGACAGCGGACACAGTTCCTGGCAGATGTTATACTTTTTGCACTCAGCCCAACTCTTTATGCATAAGGTGGGATCACAAGCATGTATGCAGCTTTTCGTGGTTAGAAGAAGAATGCTGTAAAATCTGTACTGCCTTGTGTGGTTATATTCATGGTTCCAGATAGCTGCCACAGATCCCCACAAATCTGCACCAGTTTGCATTCAATTGTTCCCCCCCTGTTCTTGCAGTTATGACAGTTTGAAAATTGAAGGTTTCACAAAAGGTGGATTCTGAAGAGGATTCTAGCACTGATTATTCATAAAGTGGGCCAATCAAGTTACTGAGCACTAACTGGTAGCCAATCACAGTCCACTGTTTTAGCCAATCAGGCAAGGGGTCAGATTACTTCTGCCAGGCAATGCTAGTTTAGGAGGGAAATTTTCATGTGAGGATCATTCTGTCACAGCTTGTTGGGCAAGCTGGGTCAATTTGAACACTCTCTGTATGGAATAATTCTGGGAGCAGGATCAATTGGAATATTCTTTCTGTGGAATATTATGAGGACTGACAGCTTGGTCATTCTGGTCCAAGCTGGGATCATCCTCTCTGTTGAGCACATTTGCTGTGGATGACAGTGCATTGCAGGCTGCTGAATTACTGCAAGCACAGACTATCTGGAGGGCTAAAGTGTGGGGCCTCTCCTTCTTGGGATATCCTTGCTGTCCAAGACTCAAGAGATGCTGGACAAGTGTTAGGCCTACTTTGGAAAAAATGGTTGTGTACTGTCCATCTGAACATTACTAGGTGCCACCTCATGGATCCTTCAAGGCCAGACTGTGGTTGGCAAGCTGGAGTGTGCTGAAACTGCATGTATGATCACACTGCATGACATGATTTAAGCTCAGTGGGATTTGAAATCTAGCCGGAGGAAGGGAGTCCTGTTTGCTGTTTGGTCGGCATTAACTGAGCTATAGCACAATGCCTCGGCAGCAGAAAGCCAGCAAAAAGGCTGGAACTAGGCCTACCAGGCCTCGGCCACAAAAGGCTGCTAGAGTCAGCCAGCAACCTCTGCGGTGTTCATCACAAGCCACTGCCAATGCGGTAGCTGCTGAAGCTGACATGTCTTGGGCTACTTCTGCGATGCCCTCATCACCACACTGGCACCATCTTCAGCGGCAGTGCCTCCTCAGCTACACAGCGCAGAACCCAGGGAGGTGGGGGCTCTTCTTACGAGCCCTATCGCGACCACTGTTTGGCAAGCATTGCACCCCAGTGAGGCTGACAACCCAGAAAGGAGCTCAAGTGCACCAAGCGTTATTCCAGAACCAGCTGCTGGGCCAGGTACAACTGCTAGCTTAGTTGGGTTTCCTAATGATACCACAGACCAACTGCCCCAGTGTTTTCCCAGAATCCCTAAGTATGCCTAGCATGTGTATCCCGTTAGGGTCCCTTCTCCCTATCTCACTCGAGGAGAAGATATGGGGGAAAGTATGTTGACTTAGCATAGCTCTATCAGAATAATGCGGCCCCCACAATAGCAATGAGGGAAACTAATCCAGAAGTTGCATTCACCCTGATTGGGGATAGGTTGGTAGTGAAAAAAGCTACAAAGCCACCCAAGAAAATCGATTCCTTTGACAAATGGCAATCTGCCTTTCATACATGTGTCTGTCTTCTTCATGAAACACCCATCTCGTTGGGCTGAACTGCTTAAATATGCTGAGACTATTCAAACAGCAGCCCTCCAATTCCCTGGATGGGGTTGGAAGGCCTATGACGAACAATTTTGGTTATGGCAGAAAGCCATTCCAGCTCGATCATGGGGTATTGTTGATTCAGAGCTATGGCTCACTGTTGAAGCAGCAGCAGTAGCAAGCAAAAACAGCTACTACTGGCAGTAGTTTGTCAATCAGGCTTGCAACCACCAAAGCTAGGTTTTTGTTTTGCATTTAACAGTATTAAGGGTTGCCGCTTCTTTGGGTGTCGCTTTCCACAAGTGTAGCCAATGCCATCAGGGAGGTCATGGGGTTCATAAGTCGTAATATTTCTGGGCAGGCAGGGACTGCACCCGTTGGCAGAATTAATGGTTTTCTGGATCTTATCTACCGGTATATAGGATATTCATACAGGGTGTACAATTTGAGAAGACAATTCAATTACTTTGGGGGATGGATTGTTTCGGAGCTGTCTGTTTCCAAGTGGTGACGTTGCCGTGTAGGCATTATCTTTCAACTGTTCAGTGATTTTCATCATTTTCATGTGTATAAAGACCTGTTCCCAAGTTCATGTTGCATGCTGGAATTGGTGAATTTTGATAGGAGTGGCTTTTCTTCTTCCTGTTGGGGCATGCTTTGCATATGAGGCATTTTTTAACAGGATTCGAAGAC